AGACTATTACAATACAAGTGCTGCCCACCCAGGGGATCAGATATCCAAATATAGCACTAAAAGATGATAGGGATTAAACATGTGAAGAAGAAAGAAAGAACAGGAAAAGCTAGGTTATAAATTATCTTCAACTTAGGTATAGGTTATATTCTAAAAATACAGTCCTAGGGACGCCTGGGTGACTCAGTCATTAAGCGTCTGCCTTCAGCTCAGGTCATGATCCCAGGGTCCTGGGAACAAGGCCCGCATTGGGCTCCCTGCTCCACGGGAACCCTTCTCCCTCTCCCACTCTGCCTGCTTGTATTCCCTCTCTTGCTGTCTCTTTCTCTGTCAAATAAATAAATAAAATCTTTTAAAAAATAAAATAAAAATACAGTTCTAAGTTCATCTTAGCTTAGGCTATACTTTCCTGTAGATAAAATGTGATGTATAGATCCCTATTCTTTCAAACCCTATTTAATTCATTATGTGGAATATTCCTAGTATTGTCTTTCAACTGAGAAGGGTTTATCATCCCCTCTCTCTCCCCTGAGAAGTAGAGGAGAGGAATATTGAGATTCTTAATAGTAAAAGGAAGTATAACTCTAATCCTTCCTTTCTTTTTCTTTTTCTTTTTTTAAGTTGGGCGTGGAGCCCAACACGGGGGCTTGAACCCATGACCCTGATATCAAGACCTGAGCTGAGGTCAAGAGTCAGACACTTAACCGACTGAGCCACCCAGGTGCCCCAGCTCTAATCCTTTCTTACCTTTACTTTCACTGCTGACTTGTGCTAGGGGATAGAATTAGGGTTTGGAAAAGAGGGAAGGCCAAGAAATACCACTCTAGACTGTCATCAACAGTCATAGACTGAGGTGAGGAATGAGAATTCCTCATTTGAGGAGGGAGCAGGGAGCAGGGAGCAGGGAACACCAGAATGGTGGTGTTTGTAGCTAGAATGGAGCGAATGGTTAAGAGAAGGAAAAGTCCCTCACAGGGAAAAAGGAATTCGTTTCATGCCCTGTACCGTTCATCTGACAAATGTCCCTTGGTAATGGATTTTCAAAAGACAAAATATGAATACTACTTGTACATCCCAGATGACTCTTAAGAGTTCTCCATTACTGTGAGTGAAGGGGCAAGCTAGTTTTTAACCGACTGAGCCACCAAGGTGCCCCTGCAAGCTAGTTTTTAGAAGTGCCCTCTTCTTTTGTTCCATTTCAAAATAGGCTGTCGCCAGTCAAAAAAGTTGTGTGTGTATGTGTGTTATGTTAATTTAATATAAATGTTGAGGTAGTGTACTGAAAAGTGAAAAACATCAGGCTGATTTTCCACTGGTAACTCTGAAATTGGGAGAAAAACACTAGAATTTTTTAAAAATCAGATTCTTCACTTAGCCCTTTTAAAGGGATTTTTGAGAAGTTTATGGCTTTCAAAATTCATATTCACTAGATGTAATTTGTATTCCATGCATAGTCCTTTGGTTTTCTATGGTATTCCCTTCTTACTATTTATTCTTGATATTTATTGAAGTTACTAAAAATCTGTTTATTATCTTGACCTTGTTATTTTGTTTTATATTTTTAATTTGTCTGTTTTCCATGTAACTGTTGTTATCCAAATTGTATTCTCCTTTGAACTCATATGTATAAGAATAATTAATCTTTGGGATTACAGAAATTGTTTCTCTTAGTATTTTCCTTTACTTCAAGAAACTGAGAAAGGATCTCTAGATAATATATATATTGGCCAAAATAACCTTTTACCACATATACATAAATTATGTGTATTACCCCCCAAAAAACCAAATATGTACTAATTGACAAATATACTTTCTTTCATAAAGCATATACAAAAGAAGCAATAAATTGTACTTGAGGAAAATATAATTTTCCCTACTCTTTATCTGTGGTGTACATTGGAGTCTGACCTGGATTTGAATCTCAACTCTCTACTACTTCTACTCTGGTAACCTTGAATAAATATATGTTTCTGTGTGTCTGTTTCTTCATCTTTAAAATGGGACTAATAATTCCTAGTTCATAGTGTTACTTGGAGAATTAAATGAGATTATCTAAATTAGTAGTTTTTAAACATTCTTCTCTGGTACTCTAGGTCACTGTAGGGACATTTGATGGGTCATTTGTATCTATTTTATGGGGTTCTGCAGAAGATTTGGTTTGAGAGAGAGGGTCCTGAGGTTCTCTGTTTAAAAACATTTGAAAGCCATAGCTGCAAGTAAAGTGCCTTGCACAGATAGAACTGGACATACCCTAGTTCTCATGCAGGTTAGAAAATCTTGACTTCACTCCTTTCCCTCCTCCATGGGAATCAGTGTATTAAAATGCCAAGTTACTTCTCTTTAACTGCTTTATTGAGGTCTAATTCACATACCATACAGTTCACCTATTTAAAGGGTACGATTCATTGGTTTTTAGTTTATTCACAGAGTTGTGCAACCACAGCCAAAATGTACTTTCAGAACATTTCCATCACCTCCAAAAGAAACTCCCTACCCATTATCAATCAGACTAACTTATTTTGGATTCTATTTCCATTGCTTATTAGAACTTTAAACATAAGTAAATTGATATATCAAGAAGAAAGGAAAACAAATCTAATGAACCATGTTTCTTCACTGATTTGTACGTACAGACATTAGAGTCCATTATGGCATTTAGCATACTTAATTTTATATATTAAGTCACCAAAGACAGTTCTTTACATTTTTCACTTCTAGAAGTTCATTTATCTACTTTCATGACTTCTAAAGATGACTACTTGATCTGTGTATGTCCTGCTCTTAGTTGAGAAATTCAACAAATACTTTGTCAAGTACTTGTTATGAGCCACGTGCTATGTTAGACTCCTAGGGTGAAACAATTAATTTAACAATTTTTAGAAGGGTGGCATGTAAACAAAGGAAGGTAATAAAGTGTGATCATACTATAAAGAGGTATGTAAAATGCTGATGGTACACATTTAAGAGAGTAATAAATTCTTCCAGCCAAGAAGGAGACTGAGGGAAGGGCAATCAGGGGAAGGAACAGAGATTGAAGAGAGTTGCAGAGAAGCTCGTCCTTAAAGAATGAATAGAATTCACTGCACAGGTAATAGAGGAGGAATATATTCTTAGGAAGCTAAGAGAATAACCCAAGCCTATACTTAGAGGACTAAAAGCATACATGATATTTAATGAAAAGTGAGGTATTTGATGTGACTAGAGGAAACTAAATACAGTGAATAGTTGTGAAACAGAAAAGGTTGACTAGAGCCTGAGAGTCAGCTTAATACCTTATTTTATCACCTTCTCCCCTCTTCTTCCCTGACTTCACTCTACAGATAATTAGCCTTTCCCAGTCTGATATTGAGTTCACATTAACATAGTTCCTACTGCCATCATCCTAGTTTCCCTGGAGTTATCTTTGACTTTTTTTCACTGCTTTGCTTCCCATATCCATTCACATGTTAATTATTATTCACATGTTAATTATTATATACCTGTCTCTTTCCATTCCCACAGACACTATCATGGTCTCTTTCCTAGGATCTCTTTTCCATTTCTTTTGTCCATTTTTAATATTATATTTTTCCATTCCTAGGACTTCACCTCTTAATCTGTTTTGGTACTGAAAGTAGCTTTAATACAATAGCTAAAATAGTTCCTATCTGAAGACTGTGAAGGGCCAAAAGGTTTATAAGAAGGAAAACTCTTACAGAGTTTATTATACTCCTATCAGGAGTTGATTGACAAGGGAATTCTCTGTATTGATGTAGAATATGTTGTTGAGTTAAAGCAAAGAACAGAAGAGTATAGTATATTCCCTTTGTGTCAGAAAGCTGAAGAATATTAGGATATAGACCCTATTTTCTTACATTTTGCATAAAGGAACTGGACAACTATAGAAGAAATAATTGAAGTAAATATCCATAGGCTTAGGGGTGGAAGAGAAGATGGGTGAGGACAGGTCTCAAAGTATCCCTTCTTATGTTGTTCTGATTTTTAAACTGAGTATTTCATCTATTTAAAATTCTGGCCTTGTGTGCCACTGTGGGGGAAGTGGGATTGAAGGACTCTGACTGATTTTCTCTTACCTTATATATGAAATCACTCCTTAGTCTACCATTCAGACTTCTGCTCTCTGATTATGCCATGGTTTGATCCCTTTCACTGAAATGAACTCTGTTCATGTCCCCAAATCACTTTCAAAACTTAAGTCAAAATATATTACTTCCTTCTCTACAGTTGGTTAACTGTTTATTTCATGCTATCATTTTAGCTTAATATATTTATGTTCTGTTTGTTTTGATTCTTCATTGGTATCTCTATGAGTATTCTGATTTATTTCATGAATGATTTCTACTCCCATTTAGATTTTAACACTTTCAATAGAAATCATATTCTTTTCTCTTTTGTATTATTGAAACATAATTTAGTAGATACTTGATAAAGATGATTTTTATTTACTTTGGAGGATCCTAACATTTTAACTTCTTTTGGATAATTTTAATAAATTTTAAATTAGAAGAGGTATATAGAAAAGTTAAGTTTGACTACTTTTCCATTACCTAAAACTTCAAAGTATTAAGTAGGAAAATTAATGAGGAAAATTAGTTTTATTTAAAAAACATGGAAAATATTTAGGGTAATTTTCTGTCCAGTTAAGGTGAAAATGTGTGGATTTGCGCACTAAAAAAGTAAACGTAACATGACCACCTGACATTAATTTGCCTGGCATACAATATGATTTATATGCTAGTTACTAATTAATAGTAATTGAGATTGGTGTGATTTTTATCTTTGCTAATATATATATATATATATAAAGTCAGATATGATAAAATAGTTATTGTTTTTTACATTAAGTGTATGATCAAAAGTAAGAAACTTGAAAATAAATTCTATTAGGAAATGAATGTTTTTAAAAATTGATCATAGAAAATAGAAACTTGGAAGCTGGGAGGCCCTTAGTGTGTTTTTATTACTTGATGTAGCCTAATCTAATATTTATTTTGAAACAGGCAAGAAAACTAGATGTATATTTTGAATATGAAGAAAAAATAATGAGCAAAACTACTCTGGATAAATCTCTTCTAGATATAATATCAGACCCTGATGGTATGTACCATAAATTTGAGGTTACTGTTAAGACTCATAGCTGATGAATCCAGCATTTTCAATTTAAGTAAAATCTGAATAGAATTATTTTTTTTTCCTGACAACCCATGCTAATAATGAGATAACTAAGTGAGCTATTTTCTGTTGAGAAGTTTGTAGCAAAGCAGTTCCTAAAGTGGAAAAAATGATTTGCATTTTATTTCATTGAACTTTTCTCTCATGGTATTTAAGAACTCGTTATATTCATTTATTTAAAGTGATATATCTGAAGTTCAATTTCTGCTGATTTTAGGAAGATTTGACAATTCAAAGCAGGTGTCTCTAAGTGATACACTTTCTAATTACTTTGGTTTAACCCTGAAGAGTTTCCTAAAAAGATACATCTAAAACTGAATTCTGTTTTAAATATTTAGGGAATTTGCTTTTAAAGAAACTCCTTAATCAATCCCTTTATATTTACATTTAACTAAGAATTTGTATGTTAGATTTTCTTAAAACAAGATACGATTCTTTGTACTTAAGAAAATGTATTATAATTATTGCTTTCAGTTATAATGATCATGGGATCTGCATAGGTTTTAGCCTCTAAAATTATCTAAACTTTAGAGATTTGATCATTACAGAGTAGCTTTCAATTCAAATCTCAGTGCTTTTCCAAAATGAAAAAAGAGTATATAAGCTGTTCAGTTTATATTTTGCATACAAGTTATTTAGCTGAATGATGATGGTTTTTGAGTTAAAGTTTGGTACGAGTTTAAGTTGAAAAATAATAAATTCCAAATTGTTTGTAATTAGAGATTCTACTCCTAAAAACTTCTAAGAAGCTATAAATATTACTCACACTGTTAAGAAGCTAGATTTGTAGTGAGAACCTAGCATTTTGAAGGTATTTACACTTTTGATCTCTACCCCCAGTGTGGGGCTCGAACTCCTGAAAGTATTTACGTATTTATGCTTTGTAATGAAAAAAATGCAAAGATAAGCCCATCACTTCAGAGATGTTCCTGATTATTTACAATAAGTTTTGAGTAAAGTTGAAGCAAATAAATGTGTTAATAGAAAAACAATCAGAACCTTCCTGTTTTCTTTCCCCTTACTTTCTCAGTTTATTTGTTAAGACATTAAGAATGGCAGAGCAAGGTAGGCATTCATGCAAAGTGGAAGTCTGGTGCCACTTTAGCCCAGAACAAGATGTTGGAACCTGAGCAGGTTGAGAAGGGCAATCACATGTAGGGTAAAGGGAAGGTTGGTGACCTGCCATAAAGTGTCAAAGTCCCAGTGAATTTGAGCAGAGTATCCACATGTGAAAGCATGGTATATAAAAGCCCGAACAGATTGAGGAAGGTGACTATACGCAGGAGCAACCCAGCATCAGTCCAAGTGCGGTGAGAAGTGTGGCCAGGCATGTGAGCAAATCCATTGTAGGAAATCAGAGCCCAAATGGAGTGAGAAGGCATCCATGCAGGCAAGGCGATGGCTGCAGAGATAGGGTATTTGTTACGTACCACAGACTGGTTAAATAAGTGTATATGTCAGATAATACAAAGGGAGCTAGGTTTCCTATTGTCAGAGGAGGAAGGTATAAATATGGAAAGGGAGAAAACTATAATGAGCCCTGTAATGTTGGATTGGAATTGGAGGCATCATTGTAGACCTGGGTTTTCACTATGTATTTGTCAGAGAAATAAATACAGATACGTGTGTATCTGTATATGTATTCCCTAGTCCAGCCAACTAAGCAGGGCTGGGACAACAATACTCCAGTAGTATTGTTTTAGCTTATAAATACCATTTTCTACTAGGACTCATTGGAGAAGTAGTTGATTCCAGGGCTGAGGTAGGAAGAGAAAGTACAAAATGAGCCTAGAACATTTTGTTGTGTCAGAAAGCAAGTACTCAGAAAGTGATGGGACATGTCGAAGAAACCCAGAGTCAGCTTGAAGAGGCCCCTCGTGGCCAGATCATGACATCATGAGCATCAAAATAAATAATGATAACATTATAACTCACTGAATGAAATAGGAAGCCATCAGGCCATAGAGATATAGTAAATGAATAAATGGAAGTTTTACAAGATTATTTAGTTTCAAATTACCTCCCTACAAAATACTTCTAATTACAAAGAGAAAAACTAACTTTATAGTGGAGAAATATGATAGATCCCTTGCTAGGTAATCACAGTGAACATAAGTAATGAGACATATTGAAATAATGCCCCACCCAGTAGGATGCAATACAAAGAATACAGTATTTCTCTTGTGATATTCCTGCCAAAGGCATGTAACTGCAATCTGATCATGAGGAAATATCAAACAAAATTTAATTGTGAGATAGTCTACCAAAACAAAAACAAAAAACCAGCCTGTAATCTAAACATCAAGGCCATGCAAGTCAAGGAAAGACTGAGGACTGTTTCATACAGAAGAAGGTAACTGTGTGTTGTGTGACAGCCGTATATACCACGTGATTCTGAAATTGATCCTTTTGTCATAAAGGATGTTACAGAGACTAGTGGTGAAACTTGAAATTAATCTGAGGATTAGATGTTAGTAATGTATCAATGCTGATTTCCTGATTTTGATAGTTATTATATTGAGCTTATTATATTGGAGAATGTCTGACATTTGGGAATGATGGGACAGCGGGTCAACAACTTACTCTCAAATTGTTCAAGGAGATAAAAAGCTTTCTGAATTCTGCTTAAAATTTTCTCTAAGATATATCAGATTACTCAGTAAGAAAACTGACTTTAAAATTGAGAGCAGTTCCAGTGGAAACTTAGGTATGACAAGAGGATCCAGGCTGCTAATTGTACGTTCTAGAGTGCTTGCAGTTGTAAAGGATACATTTTTATAATTTCCATTTGATTTCTCTGTGATTAATATCATTATAAGCATCAGGATACTCTCCAACTCTTATCATAGTATTCTTAAAACCCTTAGCAGAAATTTTGAGGCCTTTTATTAACACTATAGCAACTATAAAATATGTTTCTTCTTGAAGAAGAGAGTGGGAACTCTCTCTTCTTTAAGCAGGATAAGTGCCTCCTATTAGAAAGGCTATGCTAGATGCTGAGGATGTTAAAAATAATAGCAAGGATCTACAAGGCCCCTAAAATTCTGAAGGTGGGGAGCCTTTCTCTCCTATTTTAGGAGTAGTGGTCCCAAGAGCCTGCAGCAAGCCTCGTTGCTCTTTTTCTCTTTGTCTTCTAACTGCTTAGTCATAATTGCAGGAAATGCACAATGGAACAGGTAACTAAAGCCAAAGCTTTTGGGATGGAGCACCAAAACGGGAAAGCCAAGGGAATTGGAAACTACCAGGGAGATTGCAGAGAGGAAGTTGCTCAGGAAAGCAACCTCATAAAGTTGTTTATGAATTCCTGGGCTCACCCCTGAACTGCACATACGTGAATCAGATCCTAAACAGTATTATTCCAAAGACTGAGAGTTGAAGGGCTAGACAGTTTCCCAGTTCCCATAGAGGCCACTAGATAGTTGGACAGATCCCAGTAGCACTGCAGAAGGTTTTGAAAATATAAATCAATGATGGAACCACAACCCAGAGAAAGCTGTAGAAACTTTGGCCTGAACCCAACCAGGCTAATTACCTGCCAAACAAAAATAGCAGCTTTCTCCTAGGACTTAAACAAGACCCTGAATTTCATAATCTAATTTTCAAAATGTCCAAGATACAATATTTATTTGTAAATATTAAAACTTTGGAAAAACCCATCATTGATCTTTATTAACACTTTTAGGGAGTAAGGATAATTTGAAATGGTTATCTGGATTTTGAACCATATAAAAAATCAATGGTTCATTAGTCATATTTTGAAAAATTTTTCCTAGTTTTTATTCTATAATAAAGTATAACAGTTTCCAGTTCTTGAGGATTAGGACACACTTTGAAGTGAGAGTGCATATTGTTATTTGTTGGTGGTGAAACTGAGTTATCTCTGACCAGTGCTTTATCACTTTGCACCAGAGTACACCCAGTAGCAGAGGGGAGAATAAGTGAGTTTCTTTGTACAGTTTTGGACTCTGGGTAATAGGAGTAGCAGATCAAACGCACTGCGAGCAAGAAATTTCTTTGAAATCTTATGTTTTGTCTTAAACAATTTCAGGCAAATATATTTTGTATTATACAACAGTGTTTATTTTAATATAAATGTATTCTTTTCCCAAATCTTATAAGTGATACAATACTCTTCAGAAAGAGTCATATATATAGTGACCCCACTTTTGAGAAGTACCAAAGTTTTGTAACCCAACACCTAGAGTGACTATACAGCTATTTTTCCCAGTCTCATTTTTATATCTGTTGTCCTTACATAATTATTACTGGCATCCCCTTTCCATCCCAGAAGTATCCTGTTTTAGAATTTTATGATTACCCTACCTATACCTTTCTTTCTGAGTTTATATCTAAAAGGTAAATCTCTTACGGACATTTTGAAAGATAGAATGGAGGTACTTCTATATTCCATTCCTTTAATCCCACAGCATTTAATCATTTTTCCATATCTGTATTATACATGGTTATAGCTATAGGGCCTATAATCTTGTCAGTTAAATCAAGAACCATATTTTATCTTGTCACGTATCTGTGCCTTAAATTTTTATATACTTGTGTTGACTATAATATTTAACCACAATTATGAAAGTTTTTTTATTTATATTCCCCTATGTAGCAGGAACTCCAGAAGATAAAATGAGGCTGTTTCTTATTTATTATATAAGTGCACAGCAAGCACCCTCTGAGGTATGTCCTCTTTGTTCAGTTATTGGGCAAAAGGAGAAATATTTGTTTGTTTCAAAAACAGAAGACCAGATCACTGTGGCCAAATAACTACCTTATTCCTTTCTTTAAAAGAAAAACAATTTGTTAAGGCTGGTTCTATTTACTGCTGAGTTTTATAGCAATATTTATTGTCACTAAGAGAACTATCTACTCATGAAATGTCTGACCACTTTTAAATTGTTGGAATATGAATTGGATTCAAATGGCCAAAATTCTTATTTCTGGAAAATAGCTATTGTAAACTAAGTTAACCAAGTTTGCTATGCTTTTTGAAACATTGGTCTTATTTCTCATTATGTGATAATCTTAAAAACTCTGTTTCTTTGCGTTATAGCCACTAATGTTTTCCAATGAATTTATCTTTAACCCAAAGTAAAAATTTGGTAATATATTTTTTTAAATTTGGTAATATTTTAAGGTTATTAAAAGCTAATGTTTGTTATAGAATATAAGGAGTCAGTTGTAGGAAAATACCCAGAGTTCCAAAAAGTTATGTAAATATTATAATTTAATTTAATGAGATTAAACTTCGGATTTGTATCTGTCATATGACTCATATAAAAATAAAGTTGACATTTTTTGTATTGCAATCAAATAACTTTTATATCAATAAATTTCAGAATGATTGGAAAATGACAAATTTTCCTTTCTAGATTTTTTTTTTCTCAGTGGAAGAGTGGATTGTGGGTAATTTTGTTTTCTCTTTCTGTCATAGGCCATCATTTGCTTTTGAAGAAAAAAAAATTTTAAGTATATATAGGTAATTGATTTTGAAGGCAAATGGTGATTTTGGTATCAGTGTTGTTGCCAGGTTAGAGATCTGCTAACTCTCTCTAATGTTAACTCAGTGAAATTTTACTGGATGAGCAACAAGCATAAGAATTTTAGAGATGACATCTAGAATGATATTAATTGTTGTAAACTTCTTTCCTTCTCTGGTAGCATTTATTTTTAAAAGCCTGTTAGATCTTAACACTTTTTTTGGTCAAAAATCTCTGGCATGTTAAAACAGTAAACTAAACCCAATATTTGCTTTAGGCCAATTCTACTTTATTTTGGGCATATAGCTTTTGTTTTAATTCAGTAAGAAAATGTGGTTTTCTTTTCAGAAATATGTCATACCTGTATCTTTGGGGATTCTTAGAGGCATATATATATATATATAAAGGATTATAGCCTATTTATAATATTTTCTTAAGAATTTATGATTTTAAAACTTAATTCCATATCCCCTTAATTTGACCACATTATTTTATTTTTATTTATTTTTGGTAAGGACCGTGTCTTTTCATAAGTTTAAGTGATCATTAAGAGGCTTAAAGCAAATTATGACTACTGATGTCAGCCTGATAGCCCCAAAAATGCAAAGTAGTAAAATCTCTAGTTGAGCTTTAAATTTGTCTTGTAAAATTTTTATGATGGAGTCACTACGATGATAGGCTCTTATAAAGTACAGGAATTCAACTACACTTACTCATCAAGAAACAAAAATAGCAAGAAAGAGAAAACAACAGTTTAAAAAGTGTAAGACACCTGATACTCAGTTAATGAATTTGGACCACAAGAGTGCATATGAGAGGGGAAAACCTGAATCTGCATTTCCCCTCAGTCAGTGTCATGTCACAATGTCCCCTTGTGTTTCTGGTTTTAAAAATATTCTTGGTCAAGTCAAATGTTTCATTTAGTGCTTATCCCAAGGAAAGGCAGTCTATTTCAAAAATGGAGAAAAAACTGGCTCTGTTGGACTCAATGAGGGATGACCAAATACTAGATAGGTGATTTGGGAGCCTGTCAAAGGTAATTTTCATTAGATGTGATTTTTGTCTCAGGTGCTCACTTACAGACTCACTTAAAATATGACTCCACTCTACTTGGGTGCCTAGAACTTAAACTCATGCCTTTGGTCTAACTTTTTGATTAATCTAATAATAACAAACAAAATGGTCTTCTCTTTCACAAAAGTAAAAATTTTTATGATACCATTCTTTGCTTATTTCAGGCTGATTTGGAGCAATACAAAAAAGCTTTAATTGATGCAGGATGCAACCTTAATCCCTTACAATATATCAAACAGTGGAAGTAAGTTTTGTTTTCTTCTTACATAAGAGAGTACAATGGAAGTAGAGTTCCCAAGAAAATGGGAGTGTTACCAAGAAAATTTAACAATACCTTTTTTTTTTCCAGTGGCATAAATATTTCCCTATCTGGCCCTCCCTGTCCACAACTTAAAATTACATAAAATGGTGATAACTTTCTTTCCTAGACAAGTTTATATTTTCTTCATTGATTAGATAAGAACATCAAAGACTGAAAAGTTTGGGTCAAATGTCTCAAAAACATTAAAAGAAAATTTTAATTTCACTAGTAGAGAAATGCAGATTAGCACAGGGCAAAGATTTAGTAAAGTGCTGTGCCAAGGATATAGGCAGCTTAACTGGTGCATTTAAATTCTGCTATTAAAAATACAGATTGTCACAATTTTTGCTAGATGGTATAAAAATAAGAAAAATCTCTGACCGCACACTTCTGCTCATAAGAATTTATCCCAAAGAAGTAATTGGTGTTGTAAAATCTTAGAAGCAACCAACCTAAATGTCCTATAGTGGGCATTTCCATAAGATAGAATACACTTGAAAATTAAAAATCATGTTATAGAAGACTTATTTAATAACACTGGAAAATGTATATGTTATATGATAAAGTGAAAAAATAGTTTATAACACTATTGATTTCATTGATTCCTCTTCTCTATGCCTAGGGGTTCTCCTAGACATTGTAAATACAATAGCAAACATGTGGAAGGCCCCTATGCTCACTGAATTTACATGGAGGGAACAATAAATCAACCAATAAGCAAAAAATGAACAGAATAATGTTAAACCATACTAAGTGATATAAAGAACATAACACCAAGTGATAAGATTTTTTTTTTTTTAAGATTTTATTTAAATTCAAGTTAGTTAACTTTTAGTGTATTATTAAGTTTCTGGGGTAGAATTTAGTGATTCATCAGTTGCATATAACACCCAGTGCTCATTACATCAAGTGCCTTCCTTAATGCCCATCACCCAGTTACCCCATCCTCCTACTCATCTCCCCTCCAGCAACCCTCAGTTTTTCTCTGTAGTTAAGAGCCTCTTATGGTTTGCCACCCTCTCTGTTCTTATTCTATTTTTCCTTCCCTTCCTCTATGTTCATCAGTTTTGTTTCTTAAATTCCACATATGAGTGCAAGTGATAAGATCTTAACTTGGGGGTGAGAGTTAAATTTGTTGAGAAGATCAGGAAAAGTCTCTGAGTAGATGGTATTTGAGCTAAACTTAGATGACAGTTTTTACAGTATGATCTCTATTATCTATACATTTATCCATCCATCTCTGTGTGTATGTATGTATGAACATATACATATCATTACATAGCTGAAATGACATACATTAAAATGTTAATAGTGGGTAATTCCAAGTAGTAGAATTTTTTTATTTTGTGTGCTTATCTTTATTTTCCAAATTTTCTACAACAAACATTACCATACAATATTTCTTAAAATAATTAATACTACAAGACTGAATATGCTTTCCAAGCTCAACTGTATTAAGAAATGTGCCAAGTTGTTATCAGGAGTTATCTCTGAGTTTTTGAGTTTGAGTGCTTTTTATTATCTATACTTTTGTTTGCTTTTTCAGATTTGTTTTTTTATGGGTTTTTTTAATCTTTTTTTTTTTTTTTTTTTTTTTGGTAGCGAGAGAGGGAACACAAGCTGGGGGAGTGGGAGAGGGAGAAGCAGGTTTCCCGCCGAGCAGGGAGCCTGATGCAGGGCTCCATCCCAGGACCCTGGGATCATGACTTGAGCCGAAGGCAGACGCCTAACGACTGAGCCACCCAGGCACCCCTTAAGATATTATTTTTAAGTAATCTCTACACCAAACATGGGGCTCAAACTTATAACCCAGGGATCAAGAATCACACACTCCACTGACTGGAGTGTCAGCCAGACACCCCTCTTTTTTTTTTAAGTAATCTCTGCCCCCAATGTGGGGCTCGAACTCATGACCCCAAGATCAAGAGTCACATGCTGTACTGACTAAGCCAGCCAGACACCCCTGCTTTTTCAAATTTCTTTCATTTGACTGTGTTCTTGCAATAAGAAAAACATACAACAAATGTCTGTTTAAAAAGAGAAACTGAAAACTACTTTTTCCAATTTTTTATAATACATACCCTTTACACATTTGGCTGTGTGGCATATTGTCATTGTTTTTTTACATTATGATTTGTCTGGAACTCCTTCATCAAACATTTGTTATAAGAAGAAAGCCAGTCTTGGGCATCATTTTATATGGTTATAAAATATTGAATTTCTAACAGTCTTTTTTTTCTAATTATGAGTAATACCACTTTTTCAAAGAAAATTTTAGAAAACTCAGGTATAAAGTAAAACTTTACCTGTAATCTCATCATCCAGAGCCTACAACTAAATATTAGTGTATATCTTTTTATATGCACATTACATGTATTTTTTAAGACTTGGAAATCATTATTATAGATACAGTTTAATATATATTCTAGTTTTTCCATTAACTTTCATTACCAGTTCATTTTCTTAAATAATGGTTTTTTAAATTTTCTTCAGTGGTGGTATTTAGTGTTTGCATAATGTTCAGCCATAAAAATGTACCATTATATATCTAGTGAAAAATAAATATTGGTTGAAGGCAGAAATTCTAGTCTATTTCTGAAAACATTTGGTTCACACCCTCCTTTCTGAACAAGATTGTGATTTTTGTCCAGATTGAAATAGAGTATTTTTAGCATCTCAACTCTCACATCTTAGTGATTCTCATTCCTTTTTTACTCTCATGAAATTTTCTCATATGTAAGTAGACTTTTTTCTTTTACAAAAACAGTTGAAATAATTAGGAATTATTGTAATAGAATGAGTCACATAAAAATATTTATGGTATGCTGTTAAAATGTTATAGAACATTTACAATATGATATCAATTTTGTTTTTGAAAGTCTATATGTTATATATACATATATCCAAAGATTAGAAGAAAATACACACAAATCCTAACGGTGATCCTCAAAGTGGTAGGGTTCTTTTGGGAGCGTTCTGTTTTCTGGATTCTCTACCGTGAACATATTCTCAGAAGACAAATATTTTTAAAAACACATCTTAAGTGCCATCTTTTTGCCCAGCCTTCAGGAATTCCGTAGTTTAGTTAAATAGATTCTGGACATTTAGAAAGATTTGAAAATAAATGATTATATGCAATTAAGTATAAAAGTGTGTGTTGTAGAATGTAACTCTTAAAAGGAAAAATCATTGGGTAGTAGAATTAGAATAGTGTTAATGAAGAAAGGGGTTTTGAGCCGAGTCTTAAAAGGAAATGCACAATTTCTGTTGGAGAAGAAAGCAGTCAGTTTATCCCCCTCAAAGGACAGCATGAGTAAAGATATGTGTCTGGTGGGGCGCCTGGGTGGCTCAGTCATTAAGCGTCTGCCTTCGGCTCAGGTCATGATCCCAGGGTCCTGGGATCGAGCCCCGCATCGGGCTCCCTGCTCGGCGGGAAGCCTGCTTCTCCCTCTCCCACTCCCCCTGCTTGTGTTCCGTCTCTCGCTGTGTCTCTATCAAATAAATAAATAAAATCTTAAAAAAAAAAAAAAAGATATGTGTCTGGGGATGAGGGAGTATGGAATGTGGGGAACAGTAAAAGAGACTTAATCAGTACATGATTGTTCTTTTAAGGCAGCAAGTCTGTTTCATGTTAAGGATCATATATAATAAAAGGAAAAAAATCTTGAAGTTTGGGAAATGCATTTGTGTTTTTTTTAAGAATCTCAGTGTTTCAGTACTAATTGTACTATACTTGGGTGTCATTTTACATGATTAAAAATCATATAATCAGTATTTATATACTTGTTCCAGTGCTAATTGTACTGAAACATTGTATTAGTTGAAAAATTATTACTATTTTAGAAAATGTCTGCATAGTAAAAGTTATAGTCAATAGAGTTTTTAATTCTGTGATGCTGAATGTGAGCTCTGATAATCAACTTTTTAATATAACTTTTTTATTTCATAGGGCTTTTGCCAAGATGGCCTCAGCTCCTGCCAGCTATGGTAACACTACCACTAAACCAATGGGGTAAGTATTTTTAATAATTCTGATTGAATAAGTCTTGTACTCCAGACCATAATTAGACTCATGTGCCTTAAAAACACATTGACACTGGTTTTTGGGGGGCTTGGGGTTTTTTTTAATTTTAATTCTTTTTAAGATATATTTGTTTTAGAGAGAAAGAGCGAGTGGGGGAAGGGCAGTGGGAGAGACTCTTCAAGCAGACTCCCCGATAAGCAGGGAGCCTGAGCTGAAACCAAGAGTCAGACGCTTAACCAACTGAGCCACCCAGGCACCCAGAAACACACTGACACTTTGTATTCAGAATGTTTTCATTGTGCTATGAATGTCAACATGCTTTTGCCTTCCTTAAGTTTAAATTCTCATTTTAAAATATAAGTTAATATATTTTACATGGTATGAGCTGTTGGCTTCTTCTTCCTTCTTAAAACATTTTATTTTTTGTTTTCAGAAGTTATATGAAGGTTAAAGCTATTCTTGTATCAGTGTTGATAAGTATATAGATTTGGAGCTAGGCACTCAAGACTTAGCTTCAAGGTAGACCTAGGTATACTGTTAAATGACAAGGAGGAGGTCCCCAGAGGTGGGTCTGACTTCTGATTCCAGAGAATCCTATAGTGTGCATGATTTTCAAAGTAGCTGAGCAAGGTAATTCTAACTACTCTTTTTTATACCATACTTATTTCAAATTCCTTAATTTTTAGAACAGGAAAACAGTTTTATTCTAGCCTCACCCTGAGCTTCTGGTTTTAATGAAACAATTTGCAAAAAGCAAAAACACTCAGCCTAAGGCAGGACCTTGTAAATGCTTGATAAGATGAATCCAGCTAGCCTCACCTTTGTGCAGTGCTATGTAGGTTAGCACTCAAAGTTGCCTGGTACTAGGGAATTGCCTCTGAACTCTTTATTCCAACAAAGATTACGTTCTCTTGTTTCTATTAAAGAAAGGATTTTCCATCTTGTCCAGCTCTTCATTTCAGAGAAGAGTAAGGACAAGATAGGGAAGAGGAAATTGATTTGGAAAATTTCTCTCATCTATTTAATAGACTTTCCAGTTTCATGTCTTAAAATCTTAACTGAATATTAAAAGCCTATTAGGTTTCTTATGGATTTCGTACTTGAGAATTTTAATAAAATGTTATAGGAAAATCTTGATTTGAAGGATATTCTGATCCTTCCTATCCTAGCCTTCTGATATCATAATACAGGAATACCATTCTATCCCACAAAGCATCCCTTGATCCAAAGTGAGAGACTAAGCCACAAGTGTAAACCCAATGTGGCAGGTCATTTGTTGGTGTTATTTTTGTTAAAAATTCAGACAATAAACATTTCTTCAGAATTGAGGTAAAACTAAGTATGTTGTGCTTCACATTTTTATATGATAGATTTTATGTATTGTGGGGGGATCGTATAACACAGGACTGGATCTAGCTGCTGTGATGTAGAGAAAATAGTAACTTTTGACCTACTCATAATACTTAACACTCATATGTATTTTCAACTTGTTAGTGTGTTTTGAATTCCTAAAACAAGTTATTTACTATCTCTAATTTTGTTATTTTAGTATTAAGGCAATCAGGAAAGCAGGGAATTCTCTTCAAATTATAATTTGCCTAAAAACTATAGGCAGGGGCGCCTGGGTGGCTCAGTCATTGAGCGTCTGCCTTCGGCTCGGGTCATGATCTCAGAGTCCTGGGATCGAGCCCCACATTGGGCTCCCTGCTTAACGGGAAGCCTGCTTCTCCCTCTCCCACTCCCCCCGCTTGTGTTCCCTCTCTCGCTGTCTCCCTCTTTAAAAAATAAATAAATAAAAACTATAGGCATACCTCAGAGATATTGTGGGTTCAGTTCCAGACCACTGCAATAAAGTGAATATTGCAATAAAGCAACTCGAAATTAATTTTTTGGTTTCCCATGCATGTAAGTTATATTTGCACAATACTGTAGTCACTTAAAGGTGTCAAAGCATATTGTCAAAAAAAGTACGTATTTAAAAATAACTTACTGCTAAAAAATGTTAACCATCATCTGAACTTTCATCAAGTCATAATCTTTTCGATGGTGGAAGGTCTTGCCTTGATATTGATGGTTGCTGACTGGTCGAGGTGGTGGTTCCTGAAGGTTGGGGTGACTGTGGCAATTTCTTACAATAAGATTACAGTGAGGTTTGTTGCATCAATGGATTCTTCCTTCACAAACAGTTTCTTTGTAGCAACGCATAGGGCTTGATAATTTTACCTGTAGTAGAACTTCTTTCAAAATTGGGGTCAGTCCTTCAAACCCTGCCACTGCTTTATCAAAAAAATTTATGGAATATTCTAAATCCTTTGTCGTCATTTCAGCAGTCTTCACAGCATCTTCATCAGGAGTAGATTCAGTCTCAAGAAACTACTTTCTGGGGCACCTGGGTGGCTCAGTTGGTTAACTGACTGAGCGACTTAAGCGACTGCCTTCGGCTCAGGTCATGATCCTGGAGTCCCGGGATCGAGTCCCGCATCGGGCTCCCTGCTCAGCAGGGAGTCTGCTTCTCCCTCTGGCCTTCCTCCCTCTCATGCTCTCTGTCTCTCATTCTCTCTCTCTCAAATAAATAAATAAAATCTTTAAAAAAAAAAAATAAGAAACTACTTTCTTTGTTCATCTGTAAGCAACAACTCCTTACTCATTCAAGTTGTATCATGAGATTACAGCAACTCAGTCACATCTTGAGGCTCCACTTCTAATTCTAGTTCTCTGTTTCTACCATATCTGCAGTGACTTCTTCCACTGAAGTCCTGAACCCCTCTAAGTCACCTGGCAGGGTTGGAGTCACCTTATTCCATACTTTCGCTCATGTTGATATTTTGACGTCTTCCCATGAATCATGAATGTTCTTAGTGGCATCTAGAATGGTAAAACCTTGAAGGTTTTCAGTTTAGTTTGCTCAGATCCATCAGAAGAATCACTATCTGTGGCAGCTATAGCTTTAAGAAATATATTTCTTAAATAAGAAAATTTGAAAGTCAGAATCACTCCTTGATCCATAGGCTACAGAATGGATAGTTTATTAGCAGGCTTGAAAACAACATTAATTTCATTGTGTATCTCCATCACACCTCTTAGGTGACCAGGTGTATTGTCAATGAGCAGTAATATTTGGAAAGGAATCTTTTTTTCTGAGCAGTAGACTTCAACAGTGGGCTTAAATACTCAGTAAATCATGCAAACAGATGTGCTGTCATCCAGGCTTTGTTGTTCCATTTCTAGAGCACAAGTAGATTTAGCATAATCTTAAGGGATAATTCCTAGGGATTTTCAGAATGGTAAATGAGCGTTGGCTGCAATTTAAAGTCATCAGCTGCATTAGCCCTTAATAAGAGTCAGCCTGTCCTTGAAGTTTTGAAGCCAAGTCTTGAATTCTCCTAGCTATGAGAGTCCTAGATGGCATGTTCTTCCAGTAGAAGTCCTATTTTGTCTCTTTTGAAAAACTGTTGTTTAGTGTACCCCCTTCATTCATTACCTTAGCTAAATCTGGATAACTTGCTTCAACATCAACACTTGCTGCTTCATCTTGCACTTACCTTATAGAGATGACTTCCTTCCTTGAACATTATGAACCAACCTCTGCTAGCTTCATATTTTTTTTCTGTAGCTTCCTCACCTCTCTCAGCCTTCATAGAATTGAAGAGAGTTAGGGCCTTGCTCTGGATTAGACTTTGGCTGGAGGGAGTTTTGTGGCTGGTTTGATCTTCTGTCCAGATTACACAAACCTTTTCCATATCAGTAATAAGTCTGTTTTGCTTTCTTAGTCGTGTGTTCACTGGAATAACATTTTTAATTTCCTTCAAGAACTTTTCCTTTGTGTTCACAACTTGGCTAACTGGCATAAGAGGCCTAGCTTTCAGCCTTTCTCAGCTTTCAACATGTCTTCTTCCTCACTAAATTAGTTGTGGCTTTTGATTTAAAGTGAGAGACGTGCTCTTTTTCGTGGTGCCTGGAGGTGGTAGGCTGCTTTAGGATGCAGCTGAACATCTCTTTACCAGCTACTGGCTGCCAGAAACTCATTGAAGTGGATGATAAACACAAACTTCACCTCTTTTATGAGAAGTGTTGGCCACAGAAGTTGCTGCTGATGCTCTGGGTGAAGAAGGATTACGTGGTCTAAGTCAATGGTGGCAATGACAAGGCTTCCCAGTAAAGCAAGGTGTCTTGACCCATGGCCATGTCTGCCTGCTGCTGAATAAGGAACATTCCTGAGGTCTGGAGAAAGACCTAGGAGGACTGAAGAAAGAAAGCACAAATCTGTTTGAGGTTGCATTGTGAATGCCAATCTCAATGTTCTCAACTTGGTCATTGTGAAAAAGCGGGGGAAGGGATATTCCTGGACTCACTGATAGCACTGGGCGTCATTGCGTGGGGCCCAAACGAGCTAGCAGAATCTGCAAACTTTTCAGTGTCTGTAAAGATGATGTCCACCAGTATGTTGTAAGAAAGCCCCTAAACAAAGAAGGTAGGAAACCAGGAACCAAAAGCATCCAAGATTTAACATCTTGTTACTCCACATGTCCTCCAACACAAGCATCAGCATATTGCTCTGAAGAAACAGTGTACTAAGAAAAGCAAGGAAGAAGCTACAGGATATACTAGACTTTTGGCCAAGAGAATGAAGGAGGCTAAAGAAAAACACCAGGACCAGATTGCCAAGGGATGGAGGCTGTCCTCTCTGAGAGCTTCTACCTCTAAGTCTGAATCCAGTCAAAAAGGAGATTGTCTAGGAATAACAAATAAATAAGATCAGACATCAAAAAAATAAAGTGAGAGACATGTGATTCTTCCTTTCCACCTGAACACTTAGAGGCCATTATAGGGCTATTAATTGGCCTAATTTTAATATTGTGTGTCAGGGAATAGGAAGGCCCAAGGAGAGGGAGAGAGACAAGGGAACAGGCAGTTGATAGAGCATTCAGAACACACCCAGCATTTATCATTTAAGTTTGCTGTCTTACATGGGTGAGGCTTGTGGCACCCGGAAACAATTACAGTAGTAACATCAAAGACCACTGATTACAGATCACCATAGCCAATACAGTAATAATGAAAAAGTTGAAATATTGTGAGAGTAACCAAAATGTAACACAGGGACATGAAGTGAGCAAATGCTGATGGAAAAATGGTGCCAATAGACTTGTTAATGCAAGGTTTCCGTGGACCTTCAATTTTGTTTAAAAAAACAACTGTCTGCAAAGTGCACTATACTGAAGCAAGATAAAATGAGGTATGCCTATATAGCCAAGACTAAGCAATTAAAATGTTTAATTTGAAGACAGCTTTTATTTTTACATTTTATGAATAATTATTTACTAGTCAGAGTATTTTATCACTTTTATTGTTAGATAAAATTACAGCAATGATGTATATGAAAGCAAAAATTCTCAGGTCACTTCTGTTTAGTGAGAATAAAAGTGGTAGGTACAGTGAGCATCAGCAGGTCATGTATAATCAGGCAAATATTTTATCTGTAACAAATTGGAAAGATAATTTATACTTCGTGTGATCTTTTTTTGTCCCTAGTCTCTTATCACGAGTCATGAATACAGGATCACAGTTTGTTATGGAAGGAGTGAAGAACCTGGTATTGAAACAGCAAGTGAGTATACTTATTAAAAAACGTTCTGGTAACTTTTTTTTTTGAGATTGTATTTATTTGAGGGCTCCTGGGTGGCTCAGTTGGTTAAGCAACTGCCTTCGGCTCAGGTCATGATCCTGAAGTCCCGGGATCGAGTCCCGCATCAAGCTCCTTGATCAGCAGGGAGTCTGCTTCTCCCTCTGACCCTCTCCCCTCTCATGTGCTCTCTCTCTCGCTCTCTTATTCTTTCTCAAATAAATAAATAAAATCTTAAAAAAAAAAAAAGATTTTATTTATTTGAGAGAAAGAGAGAGCAAGAAAAATGGTGGGGAGGGGAGAGGGAGAGAGAGAAGCAGACTCCCTGCTGAGCAGGAAGCCTGATGTGGCCTCGATTCCCAGGACCCTGAGATCATGACCTGAGCCAAAAGCAGGGGCTTAACCAGCTGAGCCACACAGGTGCCCCCATTTTGGTAACTTTTGAACATAAATATTGGCAGGTTGATGCTCAGCTAGAACAACTTTCTAGATATATTCAAGTTATTTGGAAATATTTGGAATAAAGTAAAATCAAAGGGTCTTTTATTCTGGTATATTTAAGAATATTTTACATGTGTAGTTCAGAGCTTTTTTTTTTAATTTGTTCATTTGGACTTTATTGACACTTTCAAATATACATTAGTATAGCAATCTTTCCTGAACCCTTCACCAGGCTTCAGTACTCAGCATCCTGTCATTCTTGTTTCATATTCCATAATATATATATAATATATATTATATATTCATTTATTTTTACTGAGATAGTTTAAGGAAAATCTGAGACATAATTATTTCATACATAAATATTTCAATTTATAATGAGAAGGATTTTAAAGGCCAGATTTTAAAAAGAGAGTGAATTAGCGGTTATTCAAATGTGAATATTAAGTGTTTACTTGTTTTCAGAAAAAAATAGATCGTTTCTTTCTCTGAACTTCCTCCATACTTTTATCTTTCTTACAATATTTACATGCAGTATTTTGTATTGATGTTATTTTTTACTCCCCCCACCCCCAGTTTTATTGAAATAAAATTGACATGTGTTTAACTACTTCTTGATAAGATCCTTGAGGGCAAGCAGTTTTTTCCCCATCTTTGAATTTTCAATAGCACTTTGCATACAGTAGGTAATTCAGTTCTTTTTTTGGGTAACGTTTTATTATAAAAGCCATGTAGTATTAGTAAAGAACAGTGAAAAAATTATAGTTTGCTTTATTTAATTAAAAGGCTGGTGACTTTCCAAGCTTTACTTAAGATACATTCTAGATAGTTTGCATTATTTCCTAATTACTTAGGAATACTTTTTAGCTTCATTATCCCTCTTAGGAATTCTATTCAATCCCTCCCAGTCTACCTCTCTCCTGGTAAGGAGCTACTAGTAAGTACTTAATCCACTCTTTTACTGGTTTACAGCACTTCCCTGAGTCAGTTTCTTTGTTCTCTTCGACTGTAAAGGTTGAAAAGATACAAAATAGGAAGTTGGGCACATTAGAGACCAATGTGTTATACTTTACAGTTTAACCTAGCACCTGCTAAAGAGAAAATTACTCATGACACTTGTTAAAGAACAATAAACAAAAGGTATTGGGACCACCACAGTAGGGTTTTACAGTTGGGGAGGAAGATTGGGTTCAATTCCAAATCTATCAAGGAAAAGTGGGAATTTATAGCCAAGAATCAGGGTAGGGATCAGTGGATATAAAATTACTAAAAGGAAACATCAGGGATAAAAGAGGATTCTGGCTAAACCAATCTAATAGGATCTTTACTGAAGGCAGGCCAAATGTGATCAGACATCACCTGGGAGATGGTAGAGGATGAGGAACCTGATCAGATATTAGGGTGATCAGGTATTGAAGATGAGAAATTCTCACTAAACTGACTTAACAGGATTCTTTTTAAATTGGACTATTCAAAGATGGACAGAGTTCAGAAGTCAAGGCCCCATTGAAAGGGCTCAGGGGAGCCTGAGTAGAGTTTTGTCAAGGAGAGAATCTCTGTCACACCACTCAATTTATCATTAACTATGGACAAGATGATTTTGTTATGTGATACAGAAGGGGAACCACCAGCCCCTAAGATACTGTCTGCCTTTCAGTAGACAGAGTGGCTGTTGTATAACCACATGTAGTTAAATTTATGTATAAGGAGATTTACATATTTTTCTAACGGTTCACTCTTACAAGGAAATCACAGTAGTAGAATAACTCAGCATGGAGAATTATAGACTTCAGTCTTTGAAATGATCGATTTTTTAACTTACTACCTTAGAGTCACATGTTACATGTCCACTAGTGTTTGTAAGAAGTGTCTGAACTGATCAACTTGAGTATTTTATTGTGTTAACACAAAAGTTGGTTTGTTTAAAGTTCATTTAGTATATAAAAAGAACCTGGCATCTGTAACCTCAAATTCCTTTGCTTTTCTTAATATTACAAGTAACAAACTACTTTGAAATAGGCAGTTTCTCACTTATAAAAGTAAAATTTGGTATGATTGGTGGTTATCTCTATCTGTAGTATATTCTGTCGCCATGACTAGAAGAGCTGTGTCATTTTTTTAAAGTGTATGTTAATAAGACATACATTTCAGGCTCAAATTAGAGGAAATATTTATTGATTTTTTGGGGTCAGAGGGTAGTTCATTTTATATTGTGAAGTAAAAAATGCTCTATTAAAAAAAGTTTAATATGATCTTTTGTTTTTTTTTTTACTTTTTTTAAAATAAAATTTTATTTATTTATTTGAGAGAGACAGAGTGAGAGACAGAGAGCACAAGCAGGGTGAGGGGCAGAGGGAGAAGCAAACTCCCCGCTGAGCACTCAGGGAACCTGCTGTGGGGCTCGATCCCAGAACTCCAGGATCATGACCTGGGCCGAAGGCAGACACCTAACCGACTGAGCCACCTAGGGGCCCCTCTTTTTTTTTTTAAAGAGTAAGTCTAGTCTTTATTTTTTTTTTTTTAAATTTTATTATGTTGGTCACTATATAATACATCATTAGTTTTTTTTATTATGTTATGTTAATCACCATACATTACATCATTAGTTTTAGATGTAGTGTTCCATGATTCATTGTTTGCATATAACACCCAGTGCTCCATTCAGTACGTGCCCTCTTTAATACCCATCACCAGGCTAACCCATCCCCCCACCCCCCTCCCCTCTAGAACCCTCAGTTTGTTTCTCAGAGTCCATAGTCTCTCATGGTTCGCCTCCCCCTCCGATTCCCCCCCCTTCATTTTTCCCTTCCTACTATCTTCTCCCTTTTTTAACATATAATGTATTATTTGTTTCAGGGGTACAGGTCTGTGATTCAACAGTCTTACACAATTCACAGCACTCACCATAGCACATACCCTCCCCAATGTGTATCACCCAGCCACCCCATCCCTCCCACCTCCCACCATTCCAGCAACACTCAGTTTGTTTCCTGAGATTAAGAATTCCTCATATCAGTGAGGTCATATGATACATGTCTTTCTCTGATTGACTTATTTCGCTCAGCATAGTACCTTCCAGTTCCATCCACGTCGTTGCCAATGGCAAGATTTCATTCCTTTTGATGGCTGCATAATATTCCATTGTATATATATGCCACATTTTTATCCGTTCATCTGTCGATGGACATCTTGCCTCTTTCCATAGTTTGGCTATTGTGGACATTGCTGCTATAAACATCGGGGTGCACCCCTTTGGATCCCTACATTTGTATCTTTGGGGTAAATACCTAGTAGTGCAATTGCTGGGTTGTAGGGTAGCTCTACTTTCAACTTTTTGAGGAACCTCCATATTGTTTTCCAGAGTGGCTGCACCAGCTTGCATTCCCATCAACAGTGTAGGAGGGTTCCCCTTTCTCCGCATCCCCACCAAATATTGTGAAGATGTCAATGCTACCTAGAACATCATTAGTTTTTGATGTAGTGATCCATGATTCATTGTTTTTGTATAATACCCAGTGCTCCATAAAAATGAGTTTACTGAAGGATATATGCCTAATTTTTAAATGTTAGTTTTTTCTGGGTGAGTATTCATCTCTGATTACTTCCATATGATAAATTCCTGTAGTTGAATTATGGAATCAAAGGGGTGAGCATTTGTCATTGTTCTTAATAAATATTACCAAATTGCCCTCCAGAAAAGATGTACCTACTGACTGGCAGGGACTTAAAGCGCTTGTTTCTTGACATCCTTCCCAACCTTGGTGCGTGCATATATTGTGTATATGTGTGTGGTCTTTGTCAGTTTAATAATTTTTTTAAAGATTTATTTATTTGAGAGAGAGAGTGGGGGTGGGCAGAGGGAGAAGCAGACTCCCCGAGGAGCAGGGAACACGATTCGGGACTCAATCCCAGAACCCCAGAATCACAACCTGAGCTGAAGACAGATCCTTAACTAACTGAGCCACCCAGGTGCCCCTAGAGGATACATCTTTAACTCTTTTTTAACCTACTGATTTCCACTGCTTGCAATTTATTCATTTTTAAAAGAGGGATTATTTTAGCAAACAAGCCAGAGTGAAATAAGACTTCTAAATTATTCAACTTTGTGCTGTATTACTCATCACATTCTTGTATAATTATCCTCACACAAATAAATTCCAAATCTGTAAATATCATTCAGGTGGTTTTATGTGATAGCTGATAGTTGTGATGCATAAAATTTACCTTGCCCAAAAAACAAAGTATACAAAGCTCTTACAAGCAATGTAGGAAACTAGACAATAAATATTCTTTTTATTTCATTTATAGCTTAAAACATTTATTCATATAAAAAATGCAAAACAAAAATACTACTGTATATTTTATTATTTCCTCATCTGTAAGATATTGATGTGGATATTGGATTCACCGATAGATCCCTTTCTGATTTAGAATTTCAAAATTTTGGAAACAGGTGATCTATCTTATTCCCCCTCCCTTTTCCTATCTTTACTTCACTGACAACTTTCTGTCCCTTATTATCATTGATAATTGCTCATTCCCAGTGTGTTTCTGGTATCCACACATTTCATCTTATTCTTTACTAGGCTGATACAGTCTTCAAGATAAGCATTTTCTTCAAGGAAGTCCACATACTAGTTTTCATTATCCAGGGCTTTGACAATCACAACAGCAGCAACTCTTGTCCCAGCCTCAATGCTGACTTCAGCATCAGAATATCATCCCCAGGCCAGAGCTGCAAGGAGAGAGTTAGAAATAGTCACCATAGACCAGATGGCAATATAGGGCAACAAGTGGCTAATTCTAGGAGAACTAAAGGAAAAAAACTTTTTAACTGTTTTGGATGTAAAGCTGTATTACTTTTCTTAGATTGTTTTTTAATTTCTGTGAATATTTTATTTCAGTTTTGCTTTTAAGCAATGACACTGTCAAAGATAAAATTAACATTGTTTCTGTTTAAACTTTTCCAGTGACTAAAATTATAAAACATGACTGGGGTCATAAAACCAGTAAGGGTTTTTAGAAATAGATTTTTTTTTTCTCCAAATAAAATTTCTAGTTCATGTATCTGAAATTCGAGGATTTTAGAAATACTGATCTTTAATTTAGGATATTCATGTGTATGAGACTTTTTTGTCTCTCAACACTATGTAATATATTAGGCTTTCGACTACTAGAGATTTATTTGCCAACCTATATGATAATGTTTTACATTTCTTTCTAAAACAGTTTCCAAAAACATTGAAAACTATGCTTGGGAATTTTTTTAAACAATTAATGGGTTTTTTTATTTGATTAAATTTCATTTATACCTCTTATTGAGCTACAAAAATTTTTTGTTTCTGAAGATGAGTAAGGTAACATTTGTTGAACAGAGAAAATTGTATGGTTTTGTTCTTTTTCTTTTTAGCCCACTTTTTAAAAATTTTTTTTATTTTTTTTTAACAAATCTACACCTTTATTTACTTTTCATTAAATTTAAATCCTTGAGGGGTACAGCATCACACAGATTCTGTGGCCAATGGCTTTAGCAGGAAGGTTGCTTCGGAATTTGGCATGAACCATGCCACTGTTTCCATGAGCATGAGTTACTTTTCCCCAGATTACTCTGGTTTTGTTTGGTTTGCCTCCAGGAGTCACTGTGTTGTTCTTTGCTTTGTACACATAAGCACATCTCTTGCCTAGGTAGAATTCCGTTTCATCTCGAGCATAAACACCTTCGATTTTAAGAAGAGCTGTGTGCTCCCTCTGGTTCCGGAGACCCCGCTTATAGCCAGCAAAAATGGCCGTGGACCACAGCCTTCCAGACATTATTTGGCGTTATAGGAGTCCTGTTCCCAGCAGGCCTCCTCAGACTCCAAGATGGCGGAAAAAGCCCACTTTTTTTTTATTAACATATAATGTATTATTTGTTTCAGAGGTACAGGTCTATGATTCATCAGTCTTATACAATTTACAGCGCTCACCATAGCACATACCCTCCCCAGTGACCATCACCCAGACACCCCATCCCTCCCACCCCCCTCCACTCCAGCAACCCTCAGTTTGTTTCCTGAGATTGAGTCTCTTATGGTTTGTCTCCCTCTGGTCTCATGTATGGTTTTGTTCTGATGTTTTCTGTTAGTGTTTAGCTGCCATAGTTCAGTTTTCTTCAAACATTGATTAGTCTTGTATAGAAATTATTAATATGAAATTGATTTTTGGGGCCCCTGGATGGCTCAGTCGGTTAAGTGTCCAACTCTTGATTTCAGCTCAGGTCATGATCTCAGGGTTGTGAGATCGAGCCCTGTCTCAGCTCTGTGCTGGGCATAGAGCCTGCTTAAGATTCTCTCTCCTTCTTCTGCTGCCCTTCCCTGCCCCCACCCCCATCTCTCTCAAAAAAAAAAAAATTATTTTTAAAATGATTAACTGGGTGGCTTAGTGGGTTAAGTGTCTGACTCTTGATTTGGCTCAGGTCATGATCTCAGGGTTGTGAGGTTGAGCCCCACGTCAGGCTCAGGCTCCATACTGGGCGTGGAGCCTGCTTGGAATTCTCTCTTCTCTCTCCCTCTGCCCCTCCCTCCCCGCCCCCCATCCCCATTCTTGCTCACTCTCAAAAAAATTAATTTGATTTAATGATTAACTCAGTTCAAGTCTTCATTTAGATAACAAAAGCTAGGTAGAGTATTAGTTTGTGACAAGGATCTCAGAAGTTGTTTTCTGAAGTACTCTTTCTTATGCCTTTAACATTATGGAAAGGAAATTTTGTATGTCCTTTATCATTCTCCACACTTGAAGTTTTCCTTAATGTCTGGTAGTATGTGAATATCCTATGGTGCAGCAGTGGTAGATGATTCTTTGGGTGTTATGTGGTTGTAAAGACCAGACAAAAACATAAAGAATTGTCTCTGGGCTCATGAACTTTTGGATTATTTTGCTAGAAAAAAAATTTTCTTACATTATTTAATGACCTGTTCACTAGCAGGTTTATCTTAAGGTATTGCAGAGTTATAAAATTTAGTTGTACTTTTTAGAAAAATCTCATTTTTATACTATATGAGGATTTATCATGAGATGTTAATATAAATAGTCAAATTTCCAATTATTTTCACAAATATAAAAGTAATATGACTCTTAGGGCTTTATCATTACATTACATCTTTTCTGAATTTTTCTCTATGGCACAGATCTAGTAGTGCAATTCAGGGATTTCAGTGGAGAGCTGTAGTAAATAGAGAAACTAGTATAAAATTAATTTTAGTAAAATTTTATAATTTTAATGCATTCTTGCTCTAGATGTTTTTAAAAAATTATTCCCTCCTTTTATTTTGCGAAATACTTCATCATTTGTTAACATGACTTGGAACAAATATATAACTAGTTTTTCCTTTGGGATAAAGCATTTTTATAGATGTAAATCTGCCCCCAGTCATTCTTCAGAGAAAGTCATGGTTTAGACTTATTCCTACATGTACAAACTCAATTTTATTTGAAACAAAACTTAAAAGGTAAAATTTTGAGCTATGTTTTTTTTTTTTACTCCAAATAATAGAATTCAGGAAGTACATTCAGCTAGATTGAACCTCTGGTGCTTTTGTTTATTTAAAAAGTTTCTGGCCAACACAAATATCAGGGAATAATGAAATAGCTTTAATTTTACTTGGTTAAGATCATCTTAAAAGGTTTTTTACTTGCTAATCTAGAGAAAGAAAAAGAAAAATTCCTATTTTCTGTCTGGGCAAAGCAGCATTTTCTGTAGTGGAAGTCCATTTTGGAAACAGTAAAATGTTTTATGACCTAAAGAAAGCAAAACTCTTGTAAAATAGTAATGTGTTATCTACATTTATTTAAATAATCAGATTTAATGTTGCCTTTGTTGTAAGAAGTCTCTAAGATACAAAATATACAGAACATCCTGTACAGTTCACAAATGAAATATCAGTTTAAAGTAGGCAGAATACCATCCCAGTAGGAATGCATTTTGAATAAACATAATAGTCACTTAGTAAATTTTCTGTACTTCATGTCTTATGTTCAAAATAATGGTAAAAACAGATTGAAATTTAACAATACTACTTCTTATCCCAAGGCATGTAAGCATGTCAAGAGGCAGTCTTCTGCCAACACCAGTGTTACATATTTCATGTTCAAAGTGGAATTTCTTCAGTAAGAAGACAATGCAGTATGTCACTGGAAATTTGGAATTTATCCTAGGCAAAACAAAAGTGGTCAATAAAATTTATATATATCCATTTCCCCATTTTTCAAAGATCACAAGTATCCTTTTGGCTTAGAAGAATATACATTAGAAATGAAAGACTCTTGAGTTTCTTTAATCTCATACATTTTCAAACTTTAAGTTACTCTGCTTCTAAAGAAACTCTTACTACCTGCAGAAAGGAAATAGGGAAAAAATGGGATTCTTATTTGATCAAAAGTTTGCAGTTGGTCATGTTAAAAAGCAAACATCCAACAAAGTAAAAAGCCCAAACGTGTTTGTATTAAAACCTGGGTACACTTTCACATCAAAAGGACCTTTTGATTTAGAATTATATTTTTTCTTTGGAAACTTGAGTAGTGCCAGGGGTATTTATATCTACGACACCATTCACAGAATACTTAATTTTAGAATGTGTTTAATGGAAAAGTAAGCATACTTAACTGTGGGGAAAAAAATTCAGTTGTTTTGTTAATAGAGAAGAACTTTGGTTATTCTTCTAATATTTAACAAATACTTATCTTTTCCACAGAATCTACCTGTTACTCGTATTTTAGACAATCTCATGGAGATGAAGTCAAACCCTGTGAGTAGCATATGACATGGTACTTATAAGTTCTTGAACATATCAAACTCAGTACATGAAAAGCAGTAAAATCTGAGTTCATTGTGGCCTTAATCACAGCAAACTACATGAGGGAAAGGAAAGAGTCCATGTTCTCAAAGAGCCTTTTTAGCCATTATCACAGATAATGAGAATTGGTTTTCTCAGCTGTATAACTATTCTGGCCAGCTCTCATCCAAATTAAATGTAGATTATATTCCATATATAGTTAAATGTAAAATATATCCTAAGGAGCAATTTTTTGTAAATGACAAAGAACTAGTGAGCATCAGCTGGTGTAGTATAAAGAGTACCAGACCAATTTAACTTTATGAAAATTAGGAGAGGAATACATAGTGAAATTTTTAAGTGCATGTGTTCAGAGGGCACGAAAGTCTTGGGTTGAAAAGTAAATTGAGAGAGATATATTGTTGGATGAATAGACAAATGGGTAAATATTGTTAGCATTTACTGGGTTTCCAAGCTATCTGTTTACAATTTAAGAAAGGAATGTGAAAATTATTGCAGTCCATTTCATAAAACAGTTCATCCTATTATTGTGGCAACTAGAAGGTGGTTATCACAAGAGTCTAGAATCAAGAAAGGCAGCATCAGAACCCTAGTTTGGATTGATCTGAATCTCTATAGATTTTGGCAGCAAGGCTTAAGATCCCATGCTAAGAAAGAACAGAATCTTCAGATAAATGTGTCACTTTTTGTAATTGTTAAAACATGATGATAATAACATTAAAGGAAATTAACAAAACATATTTAAAAATCTGCCCATGTGAAACAAAGAGTGTAATAAAACATCCCCAAAGGGGACAATTACAATTATGAAAAGAATAAGAGAATGTTCTATAATGATAAGCTTAAAAAGATTGGATTCTCCAGTCTGGGAATTGATTCAGAGAAAATGGTATACAATGTAGTGTAACAATAGACTTCCTTAAAACATCCTAGAATATAGGAAGAAGTAGCTCTTCTTGAAAAGTCTGAAAGCCTGAAAGAAGTATACATTTGTAACTAATTATCTTAGAGACTACTACTTCATAATAAGCTCTAAATTTGTGGAGGATATTATTCCAAACACTAATAAAGGTTAAAAATATAAATAAATGGGAGAATTTTAGACAGATGCCAAATACACAAGGGGTTAAGAAAGTTTGGGATATTTTGTTACTATCCCTAATTTTTAAGTTGAGATAATGAATAATGACCGTTATAAAGATGATAGCTAATGTTTATTACATACTTTTTATATGCCAGGAATCATTCAAAACATTTTCACATTTCATTTATTTTTTATTAGAAACTTCTATGAAAAATACCATTTTATTATGATCTTCATTTTATGGATGAAGAAACTGTGGCACAATAAAGTTAATTAATTTGCCCAAAGACACAAAGTTAATAAATGGCAGAGCTGGGCAGGCCACATTTTTCACCACTGTGCTGTATTGAAGAGGGCAAGAAACATGCTTTTCATGGAATCACAGAGCTTTAGAGTTTAAGGAAACATTAGAAGTAATTTGAATGTGGGGGAGAGGAAACCAAGAGATGTTAAATGACTTCTCCCAAGTCACACTATTTTTAGTAGCACAACTGGAACCAAAAATCTACTATTTCTATGTTTCTGTTTACTACTCATTCCAGCATACACATACCTTCCACATGGATGGCTAAATTACGGTTCTTATTCTGATGTTTCTCCAGGTTATGTAAATTCATTTATTAGTTAACTGGTGACTTTAACTGTATAACAGAAGACACATTACTACAGACATATTTTTTTTTAAAGATTTTATTTATTTATTTAATTGACAGAGAGAGACAGCAAGAGAGGGAACACAAGCAGGGGGAGTGGGAGAGGGAGAAGCAGGCTTCCCACCGAGCAGGGAGCCCGATGGAGGGCTCGATCCCAGGACCCTGGGATCATGACCTGAGCTGAAGGCAGTCACTTAACCAACTGAGCCACCCAGGCACCCCACTACAGACATATTTAACTAATTAGAAATAGTAAATTTTTTCTGCTTTGAAAGCATTTTTTTAATCCATCTGCTAGATGAGGCAGCTACCTTCACTTTCTCTTATCCTTTTTCTGTTTCCAGATAGACAACTTGATTTGGAGGCATTAAAGAGAGACTAGCAAAGTACTAAAGAGCTTAGCAAAGTGGACTAAGTTAGACCTGGCTAGTAATCTTGAATGCATCTTCGCTCAAAGGCTTGAAAATGCTATAAACTAATTCTAGATGCATTCTTATCACTTATTTAAGTGTTCTCCTTTGATTTGTCTTGACTGGATAAATTGAAAGAAGGGAATTAAAAAAATATCAGATAGGTTTCATCTTGTAAATCTGCTTAGTAATGGTTTCCCGAAGCAAAGTGTTGAAGGATTATGATGCTACTTGTGAGTGCACTGAGAGTTTTGTAATTGGTTAAGCACTGTCCACCACTGAGTACAGGACTAGGTGGTGGCAACCAATGCATAGTTTGTCATTGATCAGGTTTGCATAGGGCCATCCATTCTCCAGCGAACAACAGATTCCTTTGGCTGACTGTGCTGTGGAAGGAGAAGGAGGCAGAGGTTAGGGAGTGATTACACTGCAAGCAGTAAAACAGTACTTTCCAGCTCCTTTATTATCAAGAAGCTAGTTTCCAGCTTATAGAGTCCACAACCCCTTATCCACAACTTCTGAAATCTACAGAGTTCTGAAAACTGAAGGATTTTGTATAACCCAACTCCCGTAACTGGGAATGTTATATGCATGATATCATCCAACTAAAAATTTTTTAATTCAAGGGGCGCCTGGGTGGCTCAGCTGTTGAGCGTCTGCCTTCGGCTCAGGTCATGATCCCTGGGTCCTGGGATCGAGCCCCGCATCAGGCTCCCTGCTCCGCAGGAAGCCTGCTTCTCCCTCTGCCACTCCCCCTGCTTGTGTTCCCTCTCTCACTGTCTCTGTCTCTGTCAAATAAATAAAATCTTCAAAAAAAAATTTTTTTTAATTCAAAATTCCAGAACACACCAAACTCTAAATGTTTCAAATAGAGATTATAAACCTGTATTAGGTTATTCTGTATATTCAGTAAAATCATGGACATATAATAAAATTCTAAAACAGACACAAAATAAAAATAATTATATTGGTTTATAAAATGGGTATATTTTCAAGACAGTATAGTATAGTATAGTGGTTAAGAGCTTGGGCATTGAAACTAGACTACTTGGGTTCAAATCCTGGACTTCCTGTACTTACTAGTTATGTGACCTTAGGAAAGTTACATAACTTCTCTGTGCCCCAGTTTGCCCATCTGAAAAAATAGAGGTAACAGTAACTACCTCACAGATGTTATGGGGATTTAAGTGAGTAATTTCATCTAAAGCATTTAGAATAATGTTTAACATGTAGTAAGGGCTCTGTTAGTAGTAGTGGTGGTGGTGACACAGATTTATTTAATTAACCTACCAGATTAATAGCTTAAGTAATTAAAATACTCAAAGCCAAATGGTAACTTTCTGAAGAGAAACCAAGTTCTGGTTGGTTTGTTTTTTTTTTTTAATAGGAAACTGATGATTATAGATATTTTGATCCCAAAATGCTGCGGGGCAATGACAGGTAAGCAGCTCTTGACTTGTGTAATTTGTGTGTAGGTCTTTCCACCCTGCTAAGAATGGAAGTAACTTAATTTTTTATTATAAATCAGTAAGTGCTTATTAAAAATTCAAACTATATAGAAAAGTGGTAAGTAAACAATATGTATAATCTTATTACCTGCAGATAATCATTGCTAATTTTACTTGACGTTTTGGTTCTTTTCCTTTCAAGTATATATACTCACACACCAAAAAAATACATTAGGTGTTTTTTGTTTTTTATGACGAGATGACAGTATTGTAGACTGTATGGGGGAGGGGAATTTGGATAATGTGTTTTTAAATGCATATTCTTATTGAACCAAAGCAAAGACAGGAACTTTGTTGGATACCAGTTGTTTTTATTTAACTGGTCCATAAAGCCAACCCCTGTAGATTGTTGTAAATACTTTATGGCAATGAAACATTCTACAGATAATTTCTCTATCTTACAACAAACATGGTGTGGTAAGGTACTTGTTTGCTTCATAATGGGTATCATTTTTCAAGATTTACTTCATGGTAGTATGAAAAATAGCCTACAAGACATAAAGAAAGAACAGGCAGAATTGGGAGGGGAAAAACCTTCATGGAATGATCTTCTTTCTCACCTAAACTTGAGTGAAGCTGGTTTCTTGCCTACATCTTACTATGTTTGGGATCTTTAGAATGTTGTCTCTGCTTTATCCTAAGCTTTTACATCTTTGTCGATAGAATAGATAATCTAGTCACTAGATAGTTGATTGTTAGATTGTTCTAGTTTTTTTTTTTTTAAGATTTTATTTATTTATTTGGCAGAGGGAACACATGCAGAGGGAGTGGAAGAGGGAGAATCAGGCTTCCCGCAGAGCAGGGAGCCCGATGCGGGGCTCGATCCCAGGACCCTGGGATCATGACCTGAGCCGAAGGCAGACGCTTAATGACTGAACCACTCAGGCGCCCCTGAGTTTTAGATCATTAGATTAGATCGTAACTTAAAAGGTTATTTTCTTTTCTTAACTTACCAGAAATACTGCTAAAGTTGCAGAAGAAGCTGCTAAGAGCAGCTGGCAAAGGAGCATTTGACAAAGAATAAATTCTAGAAGGGAGAGAATGAGGAGTGACAACTAATGAGTATGGGGCTTTTAAGGATGGTAAAAAATGTTCTGAAGTTAGACAGTGGTGACAGTTGTACAGCTCTGTAAATATACTAAAAACCACTGGTTTGTACACTTTAAAACATTGAACTTAACTCTTTTCCTGTCTTGATATTCTCTGGCTTACATTTTATCCTTGGATTTGCATATGGCTAACAAGTAGACACATTTTGCTTCGTAGAAACTTCTCCTTTGCCTTCTCCTGAGCTATTTCATCACAGTTAATCTTGGTTATTAATAACTAATAATACTGTGCTATTTAAATCTCTCCTGATTCTATGTGTACTCTTAGAGGAACTTAAAGCACCCTGGAAAGAAGTTAATCACAGATGAGGTGTTTCAGTCGGGTGGGCTTCTGGCCCTTTCTATGGAATATTCATTCAGACAGGCCATAGAAATAAGGTAAAGATGATAAAGGTGTGGAATTGACCTTTCAGTAATTAAGGATGGTATAATAGCACTCTCCTCTTCGTTGAAATTTTTAAAAAATTGCTTGTGAGGGGGCATCTGGGTGGCTCAGTTGTTAAGCATCTGCCTTCGGCTCAGGTCATGATCCCAGGGATCGAGCCCCGCATCAGGCTCCCTGCTCCTCCCCTCCCGCTGTCTCTCTCTCTGTCAAATAAAAAAATGCTTGTGAGGAAAACCTAAGTTCTCTTTGTACAGCCTGTTTTATCACTGAAACAAATATATGTCTGACTCACAAAGGCTTTGAAAAATATCTTTATTAAAAGACCTCTTAGACACAAAATAAGTATTTTTAAAATACATTATAAGTATATAAATATGTGGCTAATATATGTAATAATAATATATAATGGTATATAGAAATACAAAGAAATAAGCTACAGCAAAATGCAGATTCCTCCTCCCAGCCCCCATTTCCTCCTGTTATTTCCCATACATGTGTTTACATAGTTTTTACACAAATGTGGATACTGACAAACTGCAACATTATGTTGCATATAGTAAACTTTTATATAATTTACCACTAAAATATGTGTTTTATCAACTTACCTTATACCCAGATTTTATTCCTTCTGAGAGCTGCTGCTCAGTGTTTCCTTCTCCCTTTCAGTTTTCTCTTAGGTTTTATTTTGAAGCTAACAGATTGCCCTACTCCCTTTTAGATGCTGATAAATGTACCTCATATTCTCTGCCTTCCCAATTCACTATTTGGGTACACAAAACTAGAGGACCCAGCCTCAAAGAAAGTGAAGGAGGAAGAATTGCAAATACGTATCTAATTGTGTGTACATGTGTGCGTTCCCCATACCTCTTTTATCCATAGTGAAAGCATTGTGTGAAGTTTTCACTATCGTTTTTCTTTGTTGTAGCTCAGTTCCAAGGAACAAAAATCCATTCCAGGAGGTGAGTTATATATAAAAATTCTGTCTCTAAAATGGAAGGAAGATGACCAAGCAGTCTTGAAGAATTGTCTTCATCTTAAACATGGCTTTATTACAGTTACTGTATGGTAGTTTTGATAAATCCAATTCTGTGTAACCATTATTAGTAACCATATTTTCCTGATTTATAAAACTACTTAGAATAGCTAAAAATAACAGTCAGTGGACACTTGGGCTGTTTCTGTAGTTTGGTCATGGTAGACAATGCTGCTATAAACATTGGTATGCATGTATCCCTTTGCATTAGTATTTTTGTCTCCTTTGGGTAAATACCTAGTAGTACAGTTGCTGGATTGTGAAGTAGTTCTTTTAACTTTTTGAGGAAACTCGATACTATTTCCACAGTTGCTGCACCAGCTTGCATTCCCACCAGCAGTGTAAGAGGGTTCACCTTTCTCCACATCCTCCCCAACACCTGTTGTTTTTTGTGTTGTTGATTTTAGCCATTCTGACAGGTGTGAGGTGGTATCTCATGGTGGTTTTGATTTGTATTTCCCTGATGATGAGTGATGTTGATTGAGCATCTTTTCATGTAAAGTGTCCATCAACTGATAAATGGATACAGAAGATGTGGTATATATACAATGGAATATTACTCAGCCATAAAAAGAACAAAATCTTGCCATTTGCAACAACATGGATGGAGCTAGAGTGTATTATGCTAAACGAAATAAGTCAGAGAAAGACAAATACCATATGATTTCATTCATATGTGGAATTTTAACAAACAAAGCAAATGAGCATAGGGAAAAAAGATAAACCAAGAAACAAACTCTTAGCTATAGAGAACAAGCTGATGGTTACAAGGGGAGGTGCATGGGGGGACTGGGATTAGGGCGTGCACTTGCTGTGATGAGCACTGGGTGTTGTATGGAAATGTTACTATATTGTACACTTGAAACTAATGTTACACTGTATAGTAACTAACTGGAATTAAATTTTTTTTAAAAAAGGGACACAAAATTAGGTAATTCACGAAAAAGAAGTTTAAGACTGCAATAAAAGTTTTATATGTGTGGAACTTGTTTCTAAAGTTGGCTTCCAAGCTTTTGTGAAGATACGACTGTGTTTTCCTTTGAGATACAAAAAGCTTCTCAAAATAAGAACTGTTTTGGAAATTATGTAAATGCCAAGTTTTGTTTTTCCTACCTACAATAAACTCTAATTTTAAAAAGCCTTTTGGAGGAAGCCCTTTAGATTTATTTGCTATTAGTTAACTGAAGAATGAGGTTTATTTTCCTCTACACACTTTTTAGAAACAAATTTCTTTTAATTGAAGTAGCATGAGGTGCTTAGGATATGACCTTTTGCTAGCTTGTATATTTTTTTTATGTAAGTTGTAGAATATGCTTCAAACTAAAAACCACATTGCTTAAAAGTTAAAATACTATTTCTTTCAATTTACCTATTTTTTTTTCTGTTTGCATTTTTAGGCAATTGTTTTTGTGGTGGGAGGAGGCAACTACATTGAATACCAAAATCTTGTTGACTATATAAAGGTACATGTTGGCCTCTTTATTCTTTAATCATTTGATGTTTCCCAGTTGTTCTGTGTCTTCAGCATACTAGCATTCTCTGGTGGTTCTTCTGATTCTTACATAGCCCTCTTCTGGAGGTAGTTTAAAAGTCCTCATAAAGGGGAAATGCCCATATGCTCATTGTTTTCCAATTCCTGTCACATTTTTTAGCCTAAAATTGTAGTTAATCTGGAAAATAATGTATCTTATTCATGTAATGTACTTGGAAGCTATCTATCTTAATTTGACTTTAAATGTTCATAAACTACAGGGTGCCCGGGTGGCTCAGTCAGTTAAGCATCCGACTCTTGATTTCAGCTCAGGTCATGATCTCACGGTGGTGGTGTCTGGCTCAAGATTATCTCTCTCTTCCTCTCCCTCTGCCCCTCCCCCTGCTCCCTATAAAAGTAAAATAAATGCTCAGAGACCTCAAATAAGCTCCTCTTCCAAAAAGTCTCCCTTGGTGAAATGATTTACCAAACCCATTTACCTGAATAATAAGTACTTGTTTCCCATCCTGTTGACTTAAATCAGCAACATACTTCTAACACACTTGGAATGTCTGCTTTTTCAGCAAACAGGAGGTAGCAAATTAGAAGTAGAGTGCTACTCAAAGCTCCCAGCAGCAGGGAGTGACAGACAACTATGCAAAAGAATATGAGGAAAGGGTATAACTTGAAGAGCAAAACATCATTTAAAATACAGGGGCAACAGAATTATCAGTTGTTGGAATGACATTTTGTAATCTTGATTATTCACTTTAAATAATGATCATTCCTTATGTCCTATGTTATGTAAGGCTTTAAAAAGGTCAAGATTTGGTACATCAGGAGATAAAGAAAAGACAAATGTCATGGAGATTCAAAACTATCAGACACAACTCCTGGGATCCTATTTCAGTTACATAGGACATACCTCATCTTCAGAGTGTGAACCACCAAGATCTGTGTAAGATGCCATGATCTCCAGGGAACATCCATCTTGTACAAGGAGGTGTCTTTTATATCCCTCTTTGGTCATATAGCAGGAACCAGGTGCACACCATCAATCTGTACAATTTCTATACAGAGTGCTGACAAGCTACTGAAAGTTGTCCCCTGGTCTATCTGTGACCCTGGGACTATTAATCACTAGTTGATCTATTTCATTCAGGTGTGGCATGGAGTCAACAATATGACTGTTCCAGTTGGTCCCAGGGATAAACACAGGGCTGCAACAGACCAGATGAAATTAATCCTGTACTTATACATTCCACACACCCCCAGTCTTGTTTAAGCTTTCTTAATTACACTCACCAGCATTCTGTTTTCCTGCATTTTTAAAAAATATTTGTAGAAAAGAAAAACCAGAAGAATAAACACCAAAATACTAATCATTTGTGGAGTGAAGTGGCTGAAATACAGGCATAATTTTGGAGAAACATTACAGTAGAACATTTGGTAGATTGCAAACTTATTTTTAATCATGTATAAGCTTTGACAACTTACCTTTTTCTACTACAGAAATTTTAATTTTGTGAAATGTATTAAGTTGATTCTTTAGTTTTTTCTCTGATCAGTCACTTTGATCAGAAGAACATCAGACTATCAGTGATAGGTATGTGGTTTCAGTTTACTAAATACTTTTTTTTCCTTGATTATTCTCCACCCACAAAAATATGGCGTATAGGTAGTAGAGCACATGGTACTATGACTAGTCAGGCATGCAGCAGATATTTTAATTTCCTGTATCCAGGCACCTTTCTTAACAGATCATCACTTAGGTTAACAGTTCCACAGTGGTCTTCGGCTCTGTTGTTGAACAAATTATTTTGTATATATTTTAGTGGCAATAGTGTCCTAATTTTGCTTCCCCAGAGGAATCTTAGAAAATATATAAAACCTGTAAAAGAAAAAGAAGGATTAGAATTATTCTATCCCCTAGATGTTATGAAAATCATCAGGACATACAATATGGGTAATTGCAGATTTAATCTTTCTTTAAACTACTGGAACCCATCTTGGACCTTCAGCTTCAAATGAAGGAGGCAGTTTCTTCTTTGGAGAAATGTCTTTTCAGATCCTTTGCCCATTTTTAAAAATGAGTTATTTTGCCTTTTTATTATTGAGTTTTAAGAGTACCTTATATAATCTAGAAACAAGCCCCTTATTAGATATGTGATTTGCAAATATTTTCTCCCATTCTTTAGGTTGTCTTTGCACTTTCTAGATGGTGTTTTTTAAAGTACAAGAGTTCTTTTTATTTTGTTGGAAGTCCAATTTGTTTTCTTTTGTTGGTCATGCTTTTGGTGTCATATCTAGGAATCCTTTGCCAAATTCAAGGTCATGAAGATTGATCCCTATGTTTTCTTCTAAAAGAAAAGAAAAACAATTTTTACTCTTAAATGTAGGTAGGTCTTTGATCCATTTTGAGTTAATTTTGCATATAGTGTGAATTAGGCAAGAATAAGAAATAAAAGGCATCCAAATTGGAAAGAAAAGTAAAACTCATGTCACTATTAGCAGATGACATATAGAGAAAACCCTTAAGACTATTCAAAAACTGTCAGAACTAACAAACTCAGTTAAGTTGCAGGATACAAAAATCAGTACCCAAAAATCTGTTGCATTTCTATACACAAACTATCAGAGAGATAAATCAAGAAAACCATTTACAATCACATTTTAAAAAATTAAATACCTAGGAATAAATTTAATGACGGAGCTGAAAGACCTGTTTATTGAAAACTGTAAGCCATTGATGAAAGAAATTGAAGGCACAAAGAGATATTCTGTGTTCATGGATTGAAAAAAATCAATATTGTTGAAATGTCCATACTCCTCAAAGCAATCCACAGGTTCATTGTAATCCCTGTCAAAATACCAATGGCATTTTCACACAGAAATAGAACAAACCTAAATTTGTAGGGAGCCACAAAAGACCGTTAATAGTCAAATAGCTTGAGAAAGAAGAACAAAGCTGGAGGTATCACATGTTCTAATTTCAAACTGTATTACAAAGCTATGGTAATTAAAACAGTATGGTACTGGCATAAAAACAATCACAGAGATCAGTGAAAGAGAACTGAGAGCCCAGAAATAAACCCATATAATATATGGTACGTTAATTTACAACAAAGATGTCAGGAATGTAAATGGGGAAAAGACAGTCTCTTCCATAAATAGTGCTAGGAAAGCTAGACAGCCACGTGCAAAAGAATAAAATAAAATTAATCTCTATTTTACACTATACACAAAAATTAGCTCAAAATGGATTAAGGGATTGAACATAAGACCTGAAATCATAAAACTCCTAGAAGAAAACAAGCAGTCAATTCCTTGACTGACATGGGTCTTGGCAGTGATTTTTTAATCTGACACCAAAAACCAAAGCAACAAAAGCAAAAATAAATGAGACTACATTATAGTAAAAAGTTTCTCCACAGCAATGGAAACCATCGACAAAAGGAAAAGGCAGCCTACTGAGTGGGAATTATATTTGCAAATAGTGTATCCAACAAGGGGTTAATATCCAGAATATACAAAGAACTTACACAACTCAACACCAGAAAATAATCCAATTAAAAATGGGCAAAGGACCTGAAGAGACATTTCCAAAGAAGACATACAGATAGCCAATAGACAACATGAAAAGATGCTTAACATCATTAATTATCAGGGAAATGAAAGTCAAAACCACATGGAGAAAGCCTGATTTTGTTTACATGATCAGAGAGGTATAAAAGACCCCTCCCCTTGGACAAGACTGGGACTCCCCTGCAACCAGGAACTTGGTGGTTCACAACTGAAAATAAAATGTGCCCTGTGCTACTGAGATGGGATCCTGGGAGCTGTGCCTAGAATATCTGGACCCTTCTAAAGTTTCCCTATGCTTTCTTTATTCTTCTTTGCTGTGATCTCTACCTTTTTTAATGTCTTGTGTAGGTATATCCTGTGGAGCCTCAAAAATCCCACTTATATGACAAATCCTATGTAGTTGTTGGCACATAACATCTCATTTTGAAAAAAATGAGAGTGAGATGTGACTGTTTTATTTGTTCTCAGAGATGGCCAGCTAGGACATTTATTCAGCCAACCATGTTTAATGCAGCTGAGACATCACAGAAAAATGTTCTCCTTTTGTATTACAAAGCCATAATCCTATTTCTTGATGAATTACTGTATTTGCTTTGTTATAAACTTTTTACATTAAAGAAGAAATGAATTTTCCTTTAAGTATACAATACATAATAATCAGCATTAAGGACTTACCAAATTCCGCAGCAGTTTTGACTGCTGTAATTGGGTTATAGCATTCTGCCAAAATTAGGAATGAAATTCATAAGGAGTTACAAAATGGAGTATATTAATATAGAAATACTGTATGACACAAATGGGACTGCAGTGACAATCCATGCTACTTGTACCATATCTTGCTGTCAGCATAACAAAACCCTAGGCATATTTTCTTCAAGTAATACAGATCTTACATTGGAAGAATGCTGGCCTAGGACTTTATAGACGATTGTTCCTGTGAAATGTGGTGGTCATCAGATTCCTTCTATTTTCAGTATAAATGGCACCAACAGGGTACATTAATACATTTTTAAAAAATTTATTATGCCCATTTCACCGCTTTTTTCCATGCAGTTTTAGGATCGACATGTGTACACCAAAATTCAACAACCACCCCTCCCCCAAAAAAAACCTTTAAGAATAATAAAGTCTTATTGGACTTGATCAGTCTTCTTGGAAATATTGAAAATATTACTTGTTACTTGCTTATATGAGTTCTTTCTCACTTTTACAGGGGAAACAAGGCAAACACATTTTATATGGCTGCAGTGAACTTTTTAATGCTACACAGTTCATAAAACAGGTAAAGTGTACCTTGTTAGTTTCTCTTACCATAACTTGCTGTTGATGTTTTTCAAGAGAGAGCAAGAGAATCATATTCATTTGAATCAGCTGAAGCCAAAAGCCATAGAGTTATAAAAATACAAGGTTTTGCCATGAACAACTATACAGAAAACTCTGATACATAACATTATTTCTGTTATCCCAAATCTATGAAAAGATAAATTCAGAGAATTTAAACTTGGAGTAGTGTACTCAGGCAAAATTCAGTTCCCCATTTCCTTATATACTGTCCACATTTCTGACTTTGCCAAATATAAATTGGGCTAAGAAATTAAGGTAACTTTCTGGAAGTTTCCTGGGGATGCTCAGTAGTATAACCAGTAATGTTCACTCACCTTAGCCTTGGCTGCCATAAAAATCATAACAGTACCCTGTACTCATTTTTAGCAGCTATTCCTAGCATCATTTTCCAGCACAACTTTCTTAACCCCATTATGTGGTTCTTGTATTTTTAACCGTAATGTAGTTGCCCACTGATAGGAGGATACAGAAAAGTTCAAGAAGATACAGTGAACACATGTATACTCCTCATTAACATTTTACTGTACTTGCTTTATAAGATACCTACTCATTTATCCATTCTTCATTCTATTGATTGCTACAACTTCATTAATTTCAAAGTAAATTGTAGGTATCTGTGCACTTCCCCCTTATTGCCTAGGAGTTTTAGTTTTTGAGGGGGTTTTTGTTTTGTACCCTTTGGAGGTAAAATTTATAACAATGAAATATATAGGTCTTAAGTGTATATTCCTGGGTGTTGTCAGATGTGTTCACCTGAATAATTCAACCCAAACTCCTATTCAAGATATAGAACCCTCATACCACACAGTTCCCTTATAATCTTGCCCGGTCAATCCTTGCCCTTAGTCATTCCCTGCCCCAAAACATGGTTTCGATATTTTTCCACCACAGATTATATAATGTTCTAGAATAGGCAAAACGGAATATTTTTTTCTTGGGTTAACTAGAGGATTCTCAATTTAGTTAATATTTTTAATGAACCAGATGTTTATGCTAATTTCTCTATTCTTTGGTTTATTATTTCCTTTGTTTTGATTACTTGGGGATATTAAGTTCATTAGTTTTTTTTATTTAAATCAATTAACATATAGTGTATTATTAGTTTCAGAAGTAGAATCTAGTAGTTCCTCAGTTGCATGTAACACCCAGTGCTCCTTACGTCAAGTGCTTAATGCTCATCACCCAGTTAATCCATCCCCCCCACCATCTCCCCTCCAGCAACCCTGTTTCTTTCCTATAGTTAAGAGTCTCATGGTTTGTCTCCCTCTGATTTCATCTTATTTTTCCTTTCCTTCCCCTATGTTCATCTGTTTTGTTTCCTAAATTCCACATAAACATTTAAGGCCATAAAAATCAAAATTCTTACCCAACACTGTTTTAGCTGCATTTCGCAAATGTTAATATATTTTCATCACCATGTTTTATAGTTTAATATACTTGGTGGTTTTCTCTTTTTTAGCCCATGTATAATTTAGAGATTTGTTGTTGTTTTCAAGTATTTGTGGGTTTTCTAAGTATCTTATTATTGATTTATAATTTAATTACCGTGTGGTCATAGAACATTATGCGTATGATTTACTGTTTCAAAATTTATTTAAATCTCTTTAATGGCCCAACATATGGTCTCTTACTGAGCATTCCATGTGCACTTTAAAAAAATGTGCATTATGCAGCAGTTGAGGGAAAGGTTCTATAAATTTCAGTTTGGTCATGGTAGTTGACAGCACTACTTAAATCTTCTATGTCTTTATTGATTTGTTTTTTTATGGTTTTTTTGGTCTAGTTCTATCGGGTACTAAAAGACTAGTAATAAAATCTCCAAATATGTTTGTGCAATTGTTTCTTTTTCCCTTCAGTTCTGTCAGGCTCTCTTTTTAGTTCTGTCCATGTCAGCTTATTTTTAAGCTCTGTTTTTACGTACATACGGGTTTATGATAGCTGTGTCTTCCTTATGAGTGGATCCTTTTATTCAGTATTCCTCTACTTACCTGGTAATCCTCTTTATCTTGAAGTCTACTTTATCTGGTATTAAATTAGTCACTCCAGTCTTATCCTTATGGTTTGCAGGTTATAACTTTTCCATCTGATTGCTTCAGCTTGCCTCTGAATTTATATTTAAGGTGTTTATCTTGTAGATGGCATATAATTGGATTTTTTTAAGCCATTCTGACAATCTATGCCTTTAAATTGGTTCTATTGGTATTTTTTTTTATAAAGATTTTATTTATTTGAGAGAGAGAATGAGATAGAGACAGAGAGAGCATGAGAGGGGGGAGCGTCAGAGGGAGAAGCAGACTTCCCGCTGAGCAGGGAGCCCAATGCGGGACTCGATCCCAGGACTCCAGGATCATGACCTGAGCTGAAGGCAGTCGCTTAACCAACTGAGCCACTCAGGTGCCCGGTTCTATTGGTCTTTTAACATCTAATGTAATTATTGATATGATTTGATTTATATCTACCATTTTACTGATTAGTTTGAAATAGTTTGGCCATCCTCTTTTCCTCCTTTCCTACCTTCCTTTATATAATTTGAGCACTTTTCTATTTTAGCTGTATCTGTTAATTTAATAGTTGCTATAGAGATCACAATATATACATCATTAACTGTTCATAGAGTTAATATTGTGCCACTTGCATTAAATATAGGAACCTTCCAACCATATAGACCAGTTCCCTCAGCAGTTATTCTGTGATTGTCATATATTTTACATCTGTATATTATTAACCTCACAAGACAGTGAAGAGTGTTATCGTTTCTACTTCAGTCATCATAAAGAAATCCTTTGCATTTACACAGATATGATTTCCAGTGTTCTTCATCCCTACCACCTCTAGAAGATTTTAATTTCTATCTCTTGACTGCAAAACTTCTTTTAGCATTTATTATAGCTCTGGTATGCTAGCAGTGATTCTCTTAATTCTTTTATATGAAAGTATATTTCACCTTTGTTCTTAATTTTGCTGGATATAGAATTCTGGATTGACAGTTTTTCAAAACTTTAAAAATGTTATTCCACAATCTTATACCCTCCATTGTTTCTGATAAGAAGGCAGCAGTATTCAGAGCAATATAATTTTACATGTAATATGTAATTTTTCTCTGGCTGCTTTCATGATTTCTTCATTATCTTTGGTTTTCACCAGTTAGGATGTATTTATGTGTGACTTCTTGCATATTTTTCTTATTTGGGGATCACTGAGCTTCTTGCATCATCTATTAGTTTATACCTTCACCAGATTTAGGGAATTTTCAGCTCTTCTTTCTTCAAACATTTTTATGCCCAGTTTTCTCCTCTCCTTTTAGGACTCCATTCACCTATTGTATATGTTCAACATTTTATATTATGCCATACATCTCTGAGGATTCTGTTTGGGGTTAAGATTTTTTTAATTCTATTTTTTTTAAGTTTACTTATTTAAGTAATCTCTACACCCAGTGTGGGGCTTGAACTCACAACCCCAAGATCAAGAGAGTAGCATGCTCTTCCGACTCAGCCAACCAGGTGCCCCTGATTCTGTTCTTGAGAGTGTGTAATTTAAGTTGTACTGTCTTCAGATTCACTCTTTATCTCCTTTCTGCTTTTTTGAGCAATGGTGTATGTATTTACCAGTCCTTGAATATTCGTTTGGGTCGTCTTTTTTTTTTTTAATAGACTTTGTATTTCTCTGCTGGGATTTTTCTATCTTTTCACTGTGAACATACTCTCCATTATTTCACTGAGGATAGTTGTCATAAGCTGCTTTTAAACCCTTGTCTTTTAATTGCAACACAGATCATACATTTCACTGTCTAGATGTCTCCACTGTCTTTCCCCCATTTTCCTGTTCCTTCATATATTAATTTTAGATTGTACCCTTAACATTGTGAATGTTTTTTTGGAAACTGAATTCTGTTTTTCTGGAGAGGTGATTTGGGCCTTTAGCAGGCAATAAACTCGGTTAGACTCAAATGTCAAATTCTGTCTCTTGGGCAGCAGCTCACATCTTACTTCTTAGTCTCTCTCATTTGTGCGTGGTTCAGGGTTTCACCATTTTCCATTTAGGAAAAGTTTGTACACAGAATTTAGAGCTCCCCCACTCTGTCTCGTTTATTTCCTCTTACCTTCGATGGCTTTAGTTGTCCCCATACTCTGGTTCTTTAGGCTGAGAGTCACAGAACCAGGGAACTCAGCCAGTGCTTGTCTCTCCTTCCCAGTGTCCGTTCTCTTCCCAAAACCACCAGCTTTCAGTTGCTCTCCATTTCCTTCCAGTAGTTGGTTTTTGTATTTTGTTTCAAGTTTTAATTGCTATCCCTAGGAGAATTCGGCCAGTAGTTTACCTAGCCTTCCAGAACTGAAAACCTTTTTTTTTCTTTTTAATGATGTATTTATTAAATATCAAATTAATTAAAATATGTGGCAAAGTAAACTGTCAGCAGTAAAGCACATGAAATTTTTCTTTACATTTTCATACTGTGTTAATATAGACTGTTCTGAGTTTTTGTTGTCCATTAGTTGAATTTCTACCTATATTGATACATTTTTTTTTTTTTTTTTAAACATGACAGCCTTTATTACTCTTCAGGTAATAATTATTTTAGGTACAAATGCAATAAATGAGAAGCCTAGATTTTACCATGATTAAAGCATACATTTTTAAGGTGTTTACAAATGCTTGAATACATAAATTTCTTTTGTGATTAAAATAAAGTTATTCTTATGTTTTGTTTTAGCTGTCACAACTTGGACAGAAATAACACAGAAGAACCTTAATATGAGTCTACTCAGATAAATGTAAAAAGAAAAGTCAAAAGAGCCAGATGTTTTCTTCTTCGTATCAGTGTCCTAACAGTGAAACTTAGAGTTAATTTTTAAGGAAATTCTATACTTAATATAATGTGTACTAGTTAAAAGAATAAAGTATTTCAGAAATAAATTTTTAAAATTGTACATTCTCTCT